TATTCGGGGCTTTTTTCCATTCCATACGAAATTGGAGATTGCCTTTTCCATCTCGTTGAAGAATGGGATTGGTATTTGTATTGGGATTGCATTAAATATCATTTTTAACATAATTGTAAATGATACTGTGTGTTTGGTTTTTTAAAATTTTATTTCTGTAATTTTCTTTGTTAGTGGAAAGGAATCCAACTGACTTTTATTAATTAATATTGTATTTTGCAACACTGCTGAACTTCCTTCTTGATCCAGGAGCTTTCTTATGGAATCTTCAGGATTTTTTATGAATATTTTCATGTTGTCTGCAGATAGAAATAAATGTTAAGAGGTTGTAGTGTTTGTGTGTGTATATCTTCAAATGCCCACATTTTAACATAAAAAGAACTACATGAAATGAAACATGCAAATTTGTAAAATATTTTATATATGTTCAAATATGGTATAGTCAGAGCTCTAGTATCATGTGTAACAGTTGGACTTATTCCTTGATTTGCTACATATCAGCTGTATGACTTTTTATCTCCCCAAAACTCAGTTTCTTCATTTTGTAAAATAGAAAGGGACACTTGATTCATAAGATTTTTATTAGGAATGTTGTCCAGTGCCATCTAATTGAGTACAACTCACAGAGACACTATGAACAACAGACCTGAACCCCTGTTATCCTGTGCCATCTTCACCGACTCAGTAAGGGATTGTACTGCCAGCACAAAGGTACACAGTTCTAATCCACCACCTACTCTGTGAGAGAAAGACAGTCTCTTCCCATACAATTAACTACCTCTGAAAAACTGTCCGAGGAAGAGCTATGGGACAATTCCAGCTTACTCTATACAACAACAACAGTTATTAAGAATAAATTAGATTATAGAGAAGAAGGTACCTCTAAAATCCTAAACAAAATACAAGTAGCCTTTAATTCTGATCTATTTTTGATTATCAAAAATATATCAACAAAGGAAAAGAACCATATGATCATCTCTATTGATGTAGAAAGGTTATTTGTTAAAAGACACCTTTTCCAGATAAAAACTCTCAGCAAATGGAAATAAGAAATTCTTCTCTGTAAATAAAGGCCTATCTATGTACAATCAATAGCTAATGCTCAACACAGACACAGAAACTTCTCCATGAAAACAGATGTGAGACAAAGATGTGCATCATTACTACTTTTATTCAAATTGTCCTGGAAGTTCTAGCCAGACTAATCAGGCAAGAGAGAGAAAATAAAAGCATCCAAATTGAGAACCATCTCTGTTTTCAGAGAACATGAAACTATTCATAGAAAATCCTAAAGATTTCACAAGAAAGCTGCTGGATTGAGAAGAAGAGTTTAGCAGTGTTGCAAAGTACAGAATCAACACACAAAAGTCAGTCGGATTCCTTTCCACTAACAAAGAAAATTCCAAAAATAAAATTTAAAAAACAAAAAACACATGGTATTATTTACAGTTATGTTCAGAATTATAAAATACCTAGGAATAAACCTAACCAGGAATATAAAAGAAAACAAACAAACGAACAAAAATACTATTATAAGAAAGTGGAAATGATCCAGAAACCATTAAAAGAAGATGGAAGAATATACAGAGTCAGTCATTACCAAAAGGAATTGGTTGACACAGAAGGATTTCATGAAACAACGTATGAGCAAGAGCCTGTGGTGAGGAAATAAAAAGTTCAGGCTGCTCTGAAGGAATTGGCAAACAAACAGGGCCCCAGGAATTGACGGCATGCCAGTTGACATAATTTCAATAAACGGACACTGCCCTGAATGTGCTCACCAAGTTGTGTCAAAAAATCTGGAGGACAACCACCTGGCCAACTGACTGAAGAGATTCATATTTGTTCCCATCCCAAAGAGAGGTGATCCAGCAGAGTGCGGAAATTATCGAACAATAGCATTAATATCATATACAAGTAAGATTTTGCTGAAGATTATCCAAAATTAACTGGAACAGCACATCAGCAGAGAATTGCCTGAAGTGCAGGCTGGGTTTAGAAGGGTTCGTGATACTAGGGATATTGTAGCCAATTCTAAATAAATATTGGCCGAAAGCAGGGAGTACCGAAAGAATGTCTATTTCATTGACTATGCAAAGGTGTTTGACTGTGTGGATCACAACAAACTGGCTGACTCTGAGAAGAATGGGAATCCCAGCACACTTGATCATGCTAATGCAAAACCTATACTTTGACCAGGAGGCAGTCATCCGAACAGAACAAGAACACTGCATTTTTCAAAATTGGGAAAGGCACATGCCAGGGATGTGTCCTATCTCCATACTTTTTCAATTTATATGCAGAATAGATTATTCGGAAGGCTGGCTTTTTGAGGAGGAATGTGGCATCAGGATTGGAGAAAGACTGATCAACAATCTGCGTTATGCAGATTACACAGCCCTGCTTGCTGAAACTGAGGAGGACCTAAAGTGCTTGCTGCAGAAGGTCAAGGACTGCAGCCTTCAATATGTATTGAAATCAATATCAAGAAAACAAAGATTTTCACCACTGGACTGATTGGCAGCATCATGATAGATGGTGAAGCGATTGAGATTGTTAACAGCTTCAGTTTGTTTGGCTCCATAACACTTTTGGTACCAGAAGCCAGAAAATCAAAAGACTGATTGCATTGGAAACTCCTTAGAGTGCTGAAGAACAATAATGCCAGTCTAGAGACTAATGTATACCTAATCCAGGTGATGGTCTTTGTAGTTACTTGCTCTGTATCAGAAAGCTGCACAATAGCTAGGGGCTGATAGAAGGAGAATTGATGCCTTTGAGCTGTGGTGCTGGAGAAGAGTATTGAATATACCTTGGACCACCAGGAGAACAAACAGGTTCATCCTGGAGAGCGTGAAATCAGGCTCCTCTTTGGAGGCAAGGATTCTGAGACTTTGACATACTTTGGGCATGGAAGGACCAGTCCTTGAAGAGGGACATCATGCTTGGGAGGGTAGAGGGACAGCTCAAGGCAGGAATACCCTCGAAGAGATAAATTCACTCTGACTGGGGTAGTGGGGGTAGGTGTGTCCGAGACAATATGATTGACTCAGGATAGAGCAGAGTTCAGAGCTGTTGTACATATGGTCCTATGAGTTGCAAGCAACCCAACGGCACATAAAAACAAAAACAATGGTAATTTTATAGTACTGATTCATTGAATATATAGTAACAAAAAAAAAGTTCGAGAATTTTTTCAAGTTTTGGAAAAGGAATGACAGCCAGAAGCCACCGAACCTCTAAGCAGAGTATTATTAGTTCAGGATAAAGCCAGCACTTTTTTTTTTTTTGCAGTGCCTTGTAGTGCTAGCAGGTGGCGTGAGTGCTCCACATGGCTATTTTAAAAATATTTATGAGCTTGTGGCATAAACATGTATTTTTTTAACATTGAAGTATGTGAACATGACTTTTAAAACAGTTATTACAGTAAGACTAGTTTTGCTACTCTTTTTTTCTTGGTCCACTTGTTACATAAAAAGCTGGAACACCTAACATCTCTACGCCGTACATTTTTAAACTTGTTTTAGAATTTTGTTTTTTAAAAGTCCCCTTTTACTGGACTCCTTGTTAGTATAAATAATATTATCATTTTTACTAAGCAAATATATCAGTGTAGTTTTTTAAAATGTCTTTTCTTTTTTTTTAAGGTTAAACTTTCCAGTCTGAATTTAGATGATCATGCAAAGAAGAAGCTTATTAAACTCGCGGGAGAGCGATACTGCAAGACTACAGATGTGCTTACCATCAAAACAGAGAGGTAGATTGATCGCATGTGTGGCTGTGCTGTCCTCTAGACCCTGACAGATCTTTTGTAAAGAAACTGCATTGAAAGAGAGGGTAGTCTCTCTTTACGAAGCACATTAATTCAGAGAAGTCATGTAATCAGTAATTCAAAATTTTGGAGCTCTGGTGGCCTAGTTTTAAGAAGCTGCACTGCAATCCCAAAGGTGTGCGGTTCGAATTCACTAGATGCTCCGCTGGAGAAAGAGGAGAAAACTCCTCCTGTGCCAGTTGGATCCAGTTCGACAGCACACCAAATTAAAAAGAAATAAATAATTCATAATTTTAAATATCCTCACGTTAACCTGCTGGTGCTATGATCTTGATGTGCATGGAGAAGCTTATCAGATTAAGTTCTTGTTATTTTTAGTCTTGAATTTAGTATATCTAAAGCTGATGAAGGATGTAAGTATGATTTGCTAGTGAATAACGCTTAGATACTTTTTAGCAAGTAAAAATCCATAGACATAGTTAAGAATTAAAATTATTTAGTTATATATGTGGAAATAACAGTAAAAATTTATAGACATAGCTCAGAACTAAAATTATTTAGTTACATATATGGAAATTGAATTTTGTTGAAGTTCTTTTGTAAATAAGCATAGTTTTCAGAACTAAAGTAGAAGTTTTTAAAAGCAATGTTAAGTTTATCTTATAAATATGGCAAATTAAGTCGCTTTGCAGTTGAGGCAAAGCAAGCTTGTGGTGTATTTTTACGAAATAGTTATTTTATTTCTGGAATTGTACTTGATTTCTAAGTTATATCACAACAGAAAGACTTGTTTTTGGAGAAAGGGGCAAGTGTGAGTGATCTTTGTCTCCTTTTTACCTTCCCTTTCTGCTTTCAAAGCATTTGGAAGTATCAATCTAAATGATATTTTATCATGATTTTAGTGAGAAGAAGTAACATGACACATATATAGAAATATCCAAGCACAACGACGTTAAAAACCATGATTTCATTTATTACAGAAGAGAAATGGATTTGAAATATGTTAGTAATATTTTCTTTTACTGTGTTGAGCTTCATCTGACATACTTTGGACATGTTGTAAGGAGAGACAGGTCCTTGGAGAGGGACATCGTGCTTGGGAGAGTGGAGGGATGGCGCAGGAGGGGAAGGCCCTCTATGAGGTGGATTGATTCAGTGACTGGGGTACTCGGGATGGGTGTGTCAGGGGCAGTGCAGTTGGCACAGGATAGAGCAGGGTTTAGTGCTGTTGTACATAGGGTCGCTATGAGTCTCAAACGACTCACCGGCACATAACAACAACAACAACATGTTGAGAAAAATTACTGGTAATATTAGTTATACAACTTAAAAAATAGAGAGTATTTTCATTTCAAATCCTCTCTGTTTTTGGCATGTACAGGTGAATTGTTATTTTATGGTAACATTTTTTAAGAGTAGAGTATTATTAAAAGCTTTAGTATAGTGCCAGAATATTATTAAAGCTGCTTGACACATGATTGCTTTATTTCTGTACTTATATGAAAATTGTTATTTTCTATGTTACTCTAAAAGTTTATTTTGCTTTGCCATATGTATGTAGAAGCTTTATGCAGTATTATATTATTACTTTCACTTTAAATATAATAGCAGCAGTATAGCATTATAAAATGGAACTGGAGTTGAAAATAATACCAGTGTTCAGTATCCTCAAGTAGTGACTTTCTTAGTATGTTTATGGAGTTGTAGTTTAAATTCACATAATGAAAGGCAGGAATATCCCTTTAAAAGTTATTCTCTAAGTTTAGTACATGGTATATTATTCTATATACTTTGTGTTTTGAATTTTGACTTCCTTTCTCTCTTTTGAAGGTGCCCTTTAAAGAGACAGAATTATGATTATGCAGTGTATCTACTAACAGTTTTGTACCATGAATCTTGGGTAAGTGATTTTGTATGAATGTTTAATAATTTAATCATTGATGTTAACTTTTTATAACAATTTATGAGATGGGTACTCAGCGGAGTGTTTTAGCAACTGCTGCATAAGCTAAACATGTATGTAATGTCATACGTAACATCTTGAGATGACCATACTCAGGATCTTGAGCTACATAAAGTATGCCATCTCAGAAACGTACAAAAATAAGGTAACTAAGATATCTTTAAAATTCAGAGTTTTTTTAACTTTGGTTAGATAATTCCGTTTTGAACTTGATTTTTTTTGTTGTTGTTGTTGATTTTAGTTGGAAGTTGTCAAGTTTGTGGAACAGTAATCATTTCAGTATAAATTGCAAGTTTAAAGTTCATCCTGTTTTCTAAATAGTCTGCAAAATAAAGCCCAAGAAACTTTGTGGAAAGGTTTTTAAAGGTTTATTTTTAAATTTTAGTTAACACCTAGTCTTTGACGTGACTTTCACATGTTGTTAAGTGCCGTCAAGTTGTAGATGACTCATAACGACCCTGTGAACAGAAGACCTGAAAACTTGTATAACTTTCATCGTTTCTCTAAGTTCATAGAGTTTCAGGAGGCAAGCTATTTTCGAAGTGAATGCCTTTACTGCTTCTAAGCCTATTCTAATCAGGGAGCTCTGCCAAACTGTCCACCATGGGTAACTGTTATCACGTTTGACACATCAGTGTCCCAGTGTTTAGCATCATAGCAACCATGAGTTACCTCTGTACAGCAAATGGACTGACCAGTGCTATACCCCTTAGAAGAATGCTTGGCCAAAAACAATTAAAACCAGGCCTGAGTGCCACAGATTAATATCACCCACCTTTTGCTTGGTAGCATAACTTTCTATCCACCAGGCCCACAGAGCTCTCTCTATGACTCACAGCAGTTTTTTGCACAACAGATTTACCCTTGCCCTATCCTACACCATCCCCACAGTCTGAGACATGCTCGAACCCATTGTTACAGTCACTGTCTCTTGCACATTAGGGCAATTAATTGCTTAAATATTATTAAAAATAGGCCTCTGTCTGACTGAGCTTACTGAATTTTAGTAGAAGCACACACATTTATAAAAAATTTTGCTGTGCTTGAGTATCAGCTCTCCTAAAGTTGGTAACTAATATGTTTAGTAACAAAGTTGAAAAAATTCTTTTGAAAACTTAAAAATAAATGTGTACACAGATTTATTTACTTGGTGACTAGCGTTCTCAGCATAGGCAGTGGACGTCTGTTTGTTGTTAGGTGCTGTCGAGTTGAGTACAACTCATAGTGACTCTATGAATAAAGATCCGAACCCTACTCTATCCTGTGCCATCCTCACACTTCCTGATATATTCATACTAATTATATATTTCTTTCTATACATCCGATAAATACCAGGAATATTTGGAGGAATGGTACTATCTCTCTGTTCAAAGGGCTAAACGTGAAAGGAATTAGAGTTGTGTTGTTTTTTTAAAAAATGACACTTAAGTACAAAAATTGGAAGCAATAGTAAGAGATATCAGTTCAATGAATAGAAATTCTTTAACAGGCATCCAAAAATGGACTGATAGGTAGAAAATGCTGCATCTCTTGGTCTTTTAGTGAGTTGTTGTTGTTATGTGCCGTCGAGTCGCCTGCAACTCATAGCGACCCTATGTACAACAGCCCAAAACTCCGCTCTGTCCTGTGCCAATCACACTGTCTCTGACACTCCCATCCCAATTATCCCAGTCACTGAATCAATCCACCTCATAGAGGGCCTTCCTCTCCTGCGCCGTCCCTCCACCCTCCCAAGCATGATGTCCCTCTCCAAGGACCGGTCTCTCCTCACTACATGTCCGAAGTAAGTTAGACGGAGCCTCAGAATCCTTGCCTCCAAGGAGCCACCCGGTTTAACCCTCTCCAGGACAAATCTATTTGTTTTCCTAGCAGTCCATGGTATTCTCAGTACTCTTCTCCAGCACCACAGCTCAAAGGCCTCAGTTCTCCTTCTATCCTCCTTGGTCATTGTCCAATTCTCTGATGCATAACAGGTGATTGCGAAGACCATGGCCTGTATCAGACGCACCTTAGTCTCCAGAGAGACACCACTGCTCTTTAGCACTTTGGAGAGGTCCCTAACAGCAGACTTTCCCATGGCAATGCACCTTTTAATTTCCTGGCTGCTGATGCCAAGACTGTTGACTATGGAGCCAAGCAAACTAAAGCTGTGTGCAATCTCAATCTCTTCACCATCCATCCTGATGCTGCCGATTGGTCCAGTGGTGAGAATCTTTGTCTTCTTGACATTGAGCCTCAATCCATATTGCAGGCTGCAGTCCTTGACACTCTGCAGCAGGTGCTTCAGGTCCTCCTCAGTTTCAGCAAGCAGGGTTGTGTCATCCGCATAATGCAGATTGTTGATAAATCTCCACCAATCCTGACCCCACATTTCTCCTCATAGAGCCCAGCCTCCCGGATAATCTGTTCTGCATATAGGTTGAAGAGGTATGGAGATAGGATGCATCCCTGGCATACGCCCTTCCCAATTTTGAACCATGCAGTGTTCCCTTGCTCTGTTCTGACAACTGCCTCCTGGTCCAAGTATAAGTTTCGCATTATAACGATCAAGTGTTCTGGGATTCCCATTCTTCTCAGAGTCAGCCACAGTTTGTTATGATCTACACAGTCAAATACCTTTGCTTAGTCTTTATATCTGTGCTTTTAGTGAGAGCATAGTAAAATGTCATTTTAGTTGAATTGGTTTTTGGAAGCTCCTTTTAGACCTAAAATATGACAATCTTTGAATATATATAGCTAATCTGGAAACCACTCAGCATTTAGTAAACAACTATAGTAAAATAGATGTAACACAAACAAGATAATTGCAAAGTGAAAGAAAAGAAAACTTTGTTGCAAGGTGAATAAAGAACAGAGAAGAGCTGGTAGCTTTTCTTTTGATATTTCTCATTGTCATATGTAGCTGTATTTTCTTGTTCCTTGCTTTAATAGCAATATTATAATACTAGTTAATCTTTCTTTCCTGCCAGTTGATTTTAGAAATGCCTTTGGCTTAGGTAATTAAATTCTCTTTTGAACCAGCAATATACCTGAATTAACTGTAGCTCTATAACTGCCTCTCAGCGAGTTAATACCAAATAATAAAAGCCAACCAGTTTTGAGTCCCTTGTTTTGCCAGCAGCCTGTAAAATGAATTTGCCCCAAAGGAAATGACAAGCATAAATAAATGCACTGTAAGTTGACTTGTTGAATTTTTGCTATGGATCCATGATGTGGAATCCAAACAAACTTGTATGCTGAATTCATTCAAGAAGCCGTGCCTTTGATCTTGACTATTCATTACTTTGATGCCAGAATAAGTTGCCATGAACTACTGTCCTGAACAGATACCATTAAATAATTTCTATATTAGACTTGGCTTTTGATCTCGTCTAAAGAAATATCATCAGCTAAGAAATTTTTTTAAAGAGTATGCAGATGAGCTGTGGTATTTTGCAGGAGTGCTGAAACAGAATTTTTACTGAATAAAAATCCTTTTATTTTTATTCTTTATTTCTGTTCTTTCACTAGCATGGAATTCATACTTGAAGTTGGTGTCACCACCTGTTATTTAATATTTAGAGCATCCCTTTTGAATTCATTGCTTTATTTTAGTTTTTAAAATAGAATTTTATTTTGGTTGTTGAGACTGTACACAGTAAAACATATGCCAGTTCAACAGTTTCTCCACAGTTTTGTAATAGTGATTGTATTCTTTTAGTTGTGCAGTTATTTTTACCTTTCCTTTTCTGAGTTGTTCCTCCTTTGTTAGCTCCTTGCCCTCTAAGTTTCCTGTCTAATTGCATTGCTGTTGTCAATTTATTATTATTTTTTGTGTGTGTGGGTGTGTGTGTGTGTACTGTCAAATCAGATCTGACTGGTACAGGAGGAGATTGCCCTTCCTTCTCCAGCAGAGCATCTAGTGGATTTGAACCGTGTACCTCTGGGATTGCAGTGCAGCTTCTTGCCGCTAGGCCACCAGAGCTCCTCTTTTGTCAATTTGATTTGATTCCATACAGATTTTAAAAGCATGTAATGTTCAAGGAAGACTTCCCCCCTAATTATGCTAATGTGTCAGGCTGCTAACCACAAGGTCAGTGGTTCAGATCTCTTTGAGAGAAAGTTGGTTGGTTTCCTCTTGTAAAGATTTACAGCCTCAGAAACGCAATGCAAGGTCATGATGAATCAGAATGAACTTGAAGGCAATGGCTATTGTTTTGTTTTTAAGAAGAGTTAAGGAAATATATTTGGTTTAAATGGCAATATGCATAGGGATTCATTCTACTTTTATGACTTGGGGAAATCTGGGGTCCATAAAATTTACAAATCAATCTGTATTTCCTCTGTTTTGATCAAAGATTCTACTCTAGAATCTTCTGTAGAATCTTCAATAAAAACACTGTATGGTGGCCATGCAGCATGTGGATCTTCTAGTTTAATGGCAGAGATGCACATGGAGGCAGGTAGCCACATATTGTGCATTTTCCTCTTGTTCCTGGACTCTTGTTCCAAGCATATAAAGACCTTCTCCCCCACTTTAGATGATTATTTTTAAGCTGTTAAGTCCCCAAACTATGTCTACGTATACATTCAGATACATGTATATGTTACACGTGTGCATTTATTGTGACATGCACATTTATGCACTTTTAAATTAGTGCAAACTTTATAGATGCTATGAAGACCTGGCATAAAAAGAATTATTACAAGTTCTTCATTTTATGTGTGGAGAAATGAAGGCTTAAAAGAGAAGGCAAGTACTTGCTCAAGGCCACAGAATTTTTAGTGGAAGTCAGATTGAACTGCAGATCAAAGGTTCTTATTCTTTCCCAGGTACCATATTATTTAGTTTAATTCAATTTTGAATTCCATCATCAAGTATTATGAAATAGAAATTAAATCAATCCTGGAACTTATGCATCTCAACTTTAACTATTTACTGTTAATTTACCCACCCC